CTCGCTCAGCCAGTGAGCGGGAACCGGTCTGTATGTGGGATCCGAACCCTCGGACGGGAGCGCCGCCGCGCTTCCCAAGCGGCGCACTTATCCAGTGCGCCACCGGGCCGGCCCGTTTATGTAAATTTTAATCTTAGTTCTTAGTAGTATAATAGGGGATCAATGGTGGTTCTTAAAATTGCCACGCAGTCCAGCTGAGGTTAAGTAGCATCGTCTGTAGTGAAGTTATTTAACTCATTCTGCTGACTTTGGAAACTCATTAAGTTATTTAACTCATTCTGATTCACTTGGAATCTGGGAGCGTATGTAAAGAATTGGAGTGGTATGGAGATTGATAGGGGTGGGAATTTGGAGAGATAAGGTTCAACACAGGAGAAGGTATTAAGTTGTTAGATTTGGGGAATTAAGCTTAGTTGGGAATCAAATGAAGCCAGATAGATGCTAATGGTGTGGGAAAATAGAGGGAGGAGTTGAATGCCTCATAGTGATGGTAAAGCAGAGGCTCAGGGAGCTAAAGTGTGGGAAGCTACAGGAATGGGGCTTATGGTTGAAGAGAGTTTCTGAATTACAGCCCTTGAAAGTCATGAAGGTTGAGGAGGTTGTAGGATTGTGAGCCAGGTTGTTAGAAGGATCATCGCTAACCAGAGGAAAAAATTTTAAACTAGGGTTGATTGTAAGGCAAGGGAAGGGTGATAGGAGTCTCGAAGAGTACAGTCAAGTAATTCACATAGGTAAGGACTTTAAAACATGATGGGCACTGCAGGGTGAAGGTAGACAGTGACCTGGAAGTGGAGGTAGGAGCAACAACTCTGTCCCGTTCTTTGCCTGTTTGAAGGGGGAGCAGAGATGGAATGGTTTCATTTACAGCAAGGAGGTAATGGAGCAATTGTTGAGTCTATAAGAGAGTTTCTTAGAAACATGTTTGCTTAATTACATGGTATATATTGAACTGAAACCAGTGTTGGTCACTGAAAATTATCTTCATTTTCTTTGTTGCTTGTACCTTTATTTTCATTTTAAAATTAAGATTGGTTCTATTACTTTTATAATAGTTCCAAAAAATGAAACACTTGGTTTATTTCAGTTAGAAGAGAGACATGAAAAACTGAGGAGTGGCATGGCTCAGCAGATTGCTTATGAAATACACCTTGAGCAACAGAGTGAGGAGGAACTGCAGAAAAGAAGTTTTCCTGACCCTGTTACGGATTGTAAACCCCCACCTCCTGCCCAGGAATTCCAAACAGCCCGCCTTTTCCTCTCACACTTTGGATTTCTGTCCTTAGAAGCATTGAAGGTAATTTTTATGAGAAAATATATTCATAAATTAACATTCAGCTGATGATAGCTAAAATATTTTTATGAAGTTAGGTTAGAAGAAAAATTTTTTTAAAAACTGGTTAAAATCTTACCCTGCATGCAAGTAAATAATATTCTGTGCTGCTGTAGGTTACAGTATGAGCTCCAGGGCAGTTCATCCCATGAGTATACCAGAGTTCTTTCTGAAGGGACTGTTTTGATAATACACCCAACTCTGAATTTTCCTGGGTAATGCAGCACTCATATTATACGTACAAATGAAATCTACAGATAATTTAAAAAAAGAGTGTTAAAAATCTTCCCCAGTAAACTTTGCTACTGAAAGTGTGTGCTACAACTGACTGCTCTTTCATACCACTTTTAAAGAGGAATGAAGTTAATACTGTAGTATTTGTAAGACAGGCACTTTTTATGTTGTGTAGTTAGTAAGATCAGACTGTCTAGGTTTATGTCCTGGGATCACTGCTTAGGAGCTGTGTGGTTTTGGGTGAGTTATCTGACTTTTTGTGCCTCATCTATAAAATGGGGATGATAAAGGTATAAAGGTACCCATCTCATTGGTCATGTGAAGATCAAATGAGTTAACGTGTGAGATATTTCATGTAGTACTTAGCAAAAAAGTAAGCCAGCCTGTAAGGTAAATATTGCCATTATTCTTAATACCATTATCCTTAAAACAACTATACAAGGCAAGTGATGCTATCCCCGTTTTACAGATGTGGACACAGAGGCCCAAAAAATATGAAATAACTTGCCTGAAGGTAGATTTGGGGTTTATTCTAAGGCCTATTTGTTTTGAAATGTACAACTGAAGATTGCTAAGCAAGAAATTGCTTATTGTATGACTTGTCCCTTGCCCTTAATCCTTAGCAGCTATCTGGTTATAGACTATTTAACATTTTAGGAAAGCAAGGGGGACATTGCTGTCTGATTTTGAATTTCAGCATGTAGAGGGAAAGTATTTTACACTGTAGCAAACTGCGTTTGTGCTGAGGAGTATGAACCTAAAATCTCTTAAAATACAAAATAAAAGAGCAGAGAAAAGAAATAATAAGAAATACAGTGGTAAAAAATATGGAAGACAAGGAACAAAGATCTAACCTTCAAATGATTAGTGATACTCCTAGTGGAGAAAATTGAGCAGAGTAGAACAGTAAATAAAATATGCTAGAAGAAAGTTATTACATCCCATGGACTGCAGAGAGCCAGGAAGAGCCCTAATAGCCCTGTAATTTCTGTTTGTGTTATCTATTATAGTTGAAATTTTTTAGTTTTCAAGAAAATAATTCTCATGCTTTCACATCTGTATGAGAACATAGGAAAAAGTCAGAAAAATACCAGGTTTATTTTAATAAGTTTAGTAAGTTTTTCTAATAACTTAAACCTGACAGCACATGCATATAAAAAACCTACAAACCAATCTTACTTATGAAGACATAGACAAAAAGTCTAAGGTACTTCAAAAAGTTTGTGGAAACATAGAATTAAAAGGTAATATGAAGGGCCGGCCCGGTGGCGCACTGGATAGTGCGCCGCTTGGGAAGCGCGGCGGCGCTCCCGCCCGAGGGTTCAGATCCCACATACAGACCGGTTCCCGCTCACTGGCTGAGCGAGGCGCGGGAGCAACACCGAGGGTTGCGATCCCGTTGCCGGACATGGAAAAAGACAAAAGACAAAAAAAAAAAAGTAATATGAATCTTTCCACGAACTTTTTGAAGTATGCTCCTAATTAATAGCATGTTAAGCAAAGCTTCCGCAGCCAAGTAAGGTCTACCCCAGGAACTCAAGAACTAATTGTTGGGAAATATTAGTAAAGCTATTAAGAAAATAATTTGATCCTATGTAGCAGATCAATCAATAAAACAGTAAGTCAATATTTAATAGAACAGTATAAATTCTGATTAAAAAAAAAACTTAGTGAGGACTAGTAGTGCACGTCGCTATATTAAAGATCTGTCAGTCCATGAGCAAACTAGAGGCACCTTTTATTAAAATCAGAAGTAAAAGATATCTACCTTAACCACTACGTATTTAACAATGAGAATTTTTCAGTTAATGAAATTTTGTTCTCAACTTTTTAGTTTTAAATAATTAGATTAATAGGAAGTTGCAAAATAAAAGTGCAGAGAGGTTTCCTTCGATGGTAACATCTTACATGTACAGTATCAAAACGAGGAAAGTCAGTGAAATATTAAAAGAAACTCAGAGGTAAAAATCACTGGAAACAAGGAGACGGTTTTGCAGGCAATATGACTTTTAATTAGACAACCATAAGAGAATCAATAAAATATTTAAAGTAAATGAGAAGGTTAAGATCACCACACAAAAAAGTACAAAAATTAATGACTATACCAGTTAAAATTACAATGCAGAAATTCCCCATTTACAGCTGTGATATTGACGAAAGTTACCTTAACAAACTATGTACAAGACCTAGAGGAAGAAACTTTAAAAAGTTATTAAGAGATATAAAATATGTACATGTTATGTTCCTGTATTAGAAGATCATTCAGAAGAACAAGCTGAGGACTACCTTAGTTAAAAAAAGAGAAGAATGACGACGCTTTGCCCTATAAAGTGTATTGTAATGTGCTACGGGTCCACAATTCCTCACCCATGATTTCAAAGTAAAAACTGAAAACCAGAAGGTTTTTTGTATATTTGTTGTAAATCCATTTATCAGCAAAATCTTACCTGAATTGACGCTAGGCTATTGGTAGTCGTTACTTATTTCACTTAGTGTGAATATTGTTCTTTTTGACTGCAGAAATATTAATGTCTTTGATTACAGAGTATTGCCCCAGACCTTGCTAGGAATGTTATATAACAGACTAGAAGACCAGGCTCACAATCTTTGCCAAAGTGAACAAGAACAACCCTTGCCATTTCTAGGGGATGCTTCCTTGAAAAATATCATGGTTGGCAAAACCTTGTTTGGCAATATCAAGATCTCGAAGATAAGGGATTAGGAGGAAAACAAAATTTAAAAATGCATTAAAAAAAACTAATAGGCTTTATTTTTTTTTAGAGAAGTTCAAGGTTTACAGAATTAGCAGAAAGTATAGAAAGCTCCCATAACCCCCACCCCTGCAAGTTTCCCCTATTATTAATATCTTGCATTGATGTGGTGCATTTGTTATAATTGATGAACCTGTATTGATGCATTATTACCTGAAGTCTGTAATTTACATTAGGGTTCACTCCGTGTTGTACAGTTCTGAGGGTTTTGAGAAATGTATAATGGTATGTCCACCATTACAGTATTTACAAATAGTTTCATTGCCCTAAAAATCCACTATGCTCCCCCTGTTCTTCCCTCCCTCCCTCCCCAACCGCCCCCACCCTCCTCATCCCTCAGCAACCACTGATCTTTGTTTCTTCATAGTTTTGGCTTTTCCAGACTGTCATATAGTTAGAATCATATAATATGTAGTGTTTTCACACTGGCTTTTTCACTTAGCAGTATGAATTTAAGGTTCCTCAATTTTTCTTGTGATTTGATCGCTCATTTCTTTTTATTGCTGAATCATTTTCCATTGAATGGATGTTCCACAGTTTGTTTTGATATTCAATATTTATCAAGTGTCTGCTGCCTATTAGGTGCTAGTGTTACAGTAGCGAACGAGATCTACAAGATTTCTGGCTTCCTAGAACTACTATCCAGAGGGGAAGACGGACAATTAAATAAGCAACCATAGTGAAGTATGCTAATAGGGACATTTAAAGTATGTTATAGGATCCATAACAGGAAAATGTAACCTGGTTTTAAAAAGGTGTCCTGGAGGAAAAGATGTTTAAGCTGATGTTTGAGGTATGCATTACTGTTGGTAAAAAGTCAGAAGCCGATTGTTACTGAAGAAGTAGTAACATGTAAATTCCCCAGAGGTGAGAGAATTTTGCATCTTCATGATATTCATTATGGGGTCCAATATGCTTGGAGCTTGTGAGAAGGTGGGCTGGTGGCAGCTAGGGATGAGACTGACTGGTGGACTTAAGTCTTTTTTGGAAGAATCTCAGTAAAACTGGATTAATTACTAGGGTATGGGATCTGTTTTGAAGGAAGTCTAGTGCATTCTTCATATGAGAAGAATGGGGCTTTTTTCTCCTACGTATAAAAGAAGACACAACCCTCTGATGCAGTTTGTAAATCAGTTCAATTTCCTCAGGTTTCTAGGGGCTGAGGGTGACTAGGAAACAGTAAAGATTCCCTGAGGCTTCTTTCGGAATGACTTGATACCTGCCTTCCCTAGCCACAGGGTAGATTTAGATAATTTCTGGCTACCAGCAAGGAGACTGCAAGTTGAATTTGACTCATTCATGCTTCTTGGCTAAATGTTCAGAAATTGTTTATTTAAAAGTTTCACTTCTAAGTAAAAATTTTAACTGCAAAAACTAGAACTTGTCAAATCAGCTTCCTGGCACCTATAAGAATATGAAGGGATATGGGTGAACTAAATAGGTATACTTCTAAAGAGACTAGCTTTGTGTTTGAGGTAATGACCTGATAATGATGCCTAGGGGATTGAGAAGTAATGGGTGTTACTTTCCATATTTTGACTTTCATAGGCCTCCCTTTGGTCTTGGCATAGATTAGCTTTGTATGAATGACATACTGATTTGTGGACTGGCTGCATCAAAGTCATTTGGCGGAGCTTTTAAAAATAGTGATGCCACGATCCTGCCTTTGCTGATTTTGATGTAGTAGGTCTGGAACAAACTAAGGGAATCTTATTTTTAGAAAATTCCCCAGATGATTTTAATATACTCTGCTGTCTGTCCCCCTTTTATTTTTAGTTTAGAGAGAAATTTCTTATTTGCCTTCCTGTAGAACTGAGTTTTTTAACAGTAGTACTATTAAGATCTTGGGCCAGATAACTCTTTGTTTTGGGGCCGTCCTGTGTATTTTAGAACATTTAGCAGCATCTTTGGCCACTTCCCCTAGATCCAGTAGTGCCCCACCAGTTGTGACAACCAAAAATATCTCTGGACATTGCCAGATGTCCCTTGAAGAGCACAGTTACCACCAGATGAGAACCACTGTTTAAGAACGAAGGACTCCTAGAAAATAAAGTAAAAAAACTAAAAAAAAAAAAAAATACTGGAATGAAGGATTCTCCTTTCTGAGGCCAGTAGAAAGCCCAAACATTACATTTGGTACTTAGTGAAGTTTTTTCCTGGAATGGTTACATTCTCTCATTTGGACTAAGAAAAAGATATTTTCATAGTCATTTATTAATTACCCTTAATCTTTTTTGAATTTTTAATAGGTTTGTACTTGTATAACATTAGTCAATATTTGTATCAAATTACTATGTAATGTTTATCATTAACCACACAGTAAACTCTGTGAAGGCAAGGATATGGTATCTTTTATTTATAGTAAACATGTCTGGTTTAGTAATTGTTTAGCCAGGAAGGGGAGCTCAGGGCTTTACTTGAATTATCTCATTTAATCTTCAAAACCATCATTATTTATTTATTTTTTTTCCATGGCTGGTTGGTACTGGGATCTGAACCCTTGACCTTTGTGTTACAACACCATGCTCTAACCACCTGAGCTAGCCAGCCAGTCCCAAACCATAATTATTATCTCCACTTTATAGATGAAGGGTCTGAGACAGCGATTTTTTTTGTTTGTTTTTTAAAAGATGACCTAAGGGGATCTTAACCCTTGACTTGGTGTTGTCAGCACCACGCTCTCCCAAATAAGCTAATTGGCCATCCTTATATACGGATCTGAACCGATGGCCTTGGTGTTACCAGCACTGTACTCTCCTGAGTGAGCCATGGGCCAGCCCCCTCAGACAGCGATTTTAAGAAACTTGCTTAAGGCCCAGCCAATCCAAATCTGTCTAACCCCAGAGCATGCATTTTTCACTACAGTGATATACTTCCAAATTTATTCTAAGCTTGAACTTGATTTGTCAGAAGTTTCAAAGCTAACCAATTTTTATGAAGATTTATTTTGATATGTTCTTTTGTTTCCTTCATTATAGCTGATGATTGGTATGTATTTCAGATTTTAAAGAATGTGGAGTCTTCCAGAAATGTTCAGCCACACTTCCTAGAATTTTTGCTCTCCCTTGGCTGGTCAGTAGATGTTGGCAGACACCCTGGTTGGACTGGGCACGTTTCCACCAGTTGGTCTATTAACAGTTGTGATGATGGTGAGGGATCTGAACAAGGTGAAATTCATAATGCTCATTTATTTTTTGTTTTATTACTCTTGATTTTTCCCGCTTTACTATGAATTTGTAGTCTTGTTTTAAAAAAACGAAATACAAAACCAAACTGGTATATAAAGGAAAGGTCTCCATATCCTAATCCCAATTCTCACAGGAGTCACTTAATAATAGTTTGCATATTCTTCTAGATGTTTCTTTTATTCCTGGGCTCCCAAGGTCACTGAAAAGTTACTATTATCTCTCTGAAGTGGGTAATGCCTGTGTCAGTGCTTTGAATTTTCAGAGTTCTTGGGTCAAAAAGATTACACTCTCAAGTTTTCCCATTAAATACTATTTTGACTTGACCTCTAGCTTCTTCTAATTTCAACTAAGGTTGAAGTGCAAAGTATTTAGGGATATACTATAATTTTAATTTCCATATTTCCTTGACTATATGCTTGAGTATATCTGCAGACTAAATTCCCATAAGTAGAATTGATAAAGAATATGCACGTTTTTCATTTTGATAAACATATCACTTGGATGTTTATGGTTGCGAGTAACAAAACCTAACCCATACAGGCTTAGATTTTGAAGGTCATCTGTTGCCTCACGTAATGGAAAATTCCAGGGGTTGGTTAAGTTTGTGGTGTCATTTGATCAGCAGTCCTGTTTTATTTCTTTACAATTTTCCTTTAACTCTCCTCTCAGTATGTTAGCTTTGTCCCCAGCTTGTCTTCTCTCATAGTGCAGAAAGTCAGTTCCAGGCTTTATATTAACATGCCACATTAGCCCAAAGAGGAGAGATTAGCCAGATCTCAGAATCCACTTACTCCCCAAATCCTGAGCTACACAGCAATTGGACTACCCCAAATCTGTCCTTGTGGCAGGAGAAATGGATAGAGAGATATAGAGAAGTTAGAGGTGCTATGAAGGGTCAGTCCTACCTACACTTTATTCCTGCTACAGAGTAGAAGCAGGTGGAGCAGGTGTTGGGGCAGTAACTATAGTGTCTACGAAAACAGATACAAAGTGCCTGCCCAAAGTCTAAACCAGGAGTCAACAAACTATAGTCCATGCCCTTTTTTGTAGAATACTGAAACTCAGCCACCCTCTCACTTATGTAGTATCTGCGGCTGCTTTCATGCTACACTGGTAGAAATGAGTAGTTGTGGCAGAGACCATATGGCCTGCAAAGCCTAAAATATTTACTATCTGGTCCTTTAAAGAAAAAGTTTGCTAACCTCTGGTCTAAACTTCCTGTTTGCCACGTCTTCACCAGCATTAGAGAGGCATCTTCCAATCTGTTAGGTGAGAAATTTTCTATTTTTAATTATGGTTAAGAGAGTATCTTTTCATATCTTTCTTTCTTTTTCTTTCTTTTCTTTTTTTCTTCCTTTCCTTCCTTTCCTTCCTTCCTTCCCTTCCTTTCTTCCTTCTCTGCCCAAATTTTTGTCAGGTTGTTGGTTTTTATGTATTATTGATAGGACATTGTTTTCATTGTAATTGAAAACTATACTGGCTTTCAGGAGTGTTTCTTTTGTTAATTTAGTCTTGCTGGCTTAGACTGTACTATTACCACAACTGGCTGTACGTTTTTATATCACTGACCATTGGGGAAGGTGGAGCAGAAGCACAGCTGAGGAACAGTAAAGAGTGACCAAAAGCAAGAGTACACAGACACATGCACACACCCTGCCCCCACCCCCTTTAGAAAGACTCTTGTGGTCTTCCTTTTAATGATTTACCTGTTTCAAAAGGACTCCCCCCCATAATCTGTCTCATACAGATGAATTAAAGGCCCTGCTAATCAGAAGTGGCCTGATATAGAGTAGGTTTAGAGGCTGTAAAATTAAGATTTTCTGATTTAAAGTTAGTATAAAGACCTTTAGTGAACATTTATAGTTTATTCTTCTTACAGACTAATTGGTTCTTGTTGGAAACATATCTTCTATTTCTTGTCACTTTATTAACCAGTTAACATTTCATGAAGCAGAATGACATTGGTTTTTTCCACTTTTTAAAGCAGTGATGTATTGTTTCTTGTTCTTAGATGAAGTGATTTCCTCTGAAGATGTTGGGGCTAACATTTTCAATGGACAGAAGAAGGTGTTGTATTATGCTGATGCCCTTACAGAAATAGCTTTTGTGGTTCCTTCTCCTGTGGAGTCCTTAAGTAAGAGCATTTTTTGAATTGTGCTGTTTTAGGATCTAATTTTGTATTCACAGCTTTGTGCAGTGTTACTGCATTGAAAGAGATTTTGAAGTTTTCTAAGGCATTCATCAGTTTCTAAGACATTATAACTATTAGATTATGCAAAGCGTATAAGATGTTATCTTCTCTTAACTTTCTTATGAAAAGTAGTTAAGACTAGCAGACTGACCCTCTAATAATCTTTAACTAGTGAAGAAGTCCCACTTCAACCTACATTTTGGCTTTCTTTATTAGTTTATTAATCAATACATAGAAACCCTGTTTTCCAGTTTGTTCATTTCTTTCTGTAATTATGAGTGAACCCTCATCTATTTCCCTATTCTCATGTGTGAGCCTTTATATGGAACCTTATAGACTCCTACAGCTGGAAGGATCTCATGGTGGCATCTGGCCGATCTTCAAACACTGAGCAGAAGAAACCTCAGCAGCCTAGAAAAGATGGCAGTTGAGACTATTCTTAAGGATCAGGAGTGATTATAACTTCTTAGTCTGAACTTAGTCTTATTTTGCCTTGAATCTTTGCATTTTGCAGATTAAGCCTTTTTGTGCCTGACCAGACAGTAGGTCAAAAATTTCACCTTCTTCATTGAGACTATTTGTAGGATGGGGTACTATACATCATACTTTCACACTCTCATCTTCAGGCTAATGACTTTTGTTGTGCCCTACTTTGGCAGCTTCCTAACTCTTGTACTTGGACCCTTGATTTTGTACTCTAGACCCCTCCCTGAGTCATTCTCTGGGACCAGTTATGTCCCTGGAAGGATGTGCCTTCCATGGGCTAGGTCAGTATCATAGCAGCTATTTGCCTTCCTGTCATGCCATGATCTACCACCCTAATTCCAGAAGCCAGGCCCTATCTTTCCTCTATGGGCTGAGTACCTGCCTGGTTTCTCTGGCCCAGCCTGTTTGTACCAGCCAAGTCCTCCCAGAGATAGAGCTTTGTTCTTGCACTGTAGCTCCTGCAGTTAGGTCTTTGTCTCTTGCCATGAAACATTCCCCTATGCCAACTGTGCCCCACTCCAACTCAGCTTCCTCCTGTTTCGTGATATTTGTATTTCTTTGGCCAATTTTTTTTTTAGACTTTCAGCATGCTTTTCTCCAACCAGATTGTTCCTTAATCACAGAGACTAGGTCCTCTGTAGCTTTTAGATGTCCCAGTGCCTACTTGGCACAGAGCAAAATGATAGAATATGTAATCAAAATAATTCAGAATATAACAGATGACTTTATTATATTCTACATCTGTGAGAAGTCAAATATTTTCTAGTCTTGCCTCAGTTATCCTGTAGAGCAGGAGTCAGCAAACTATAGCACACAAGCCAAATTCAGCCAAGAATGGCTTTTACATATTTAAAGGGTTATAAATAAAATACAGAGAAGAATATGCAAGAGAGACCTATATGGCCAGCAAAGCCTGAAATATTTCTTATCTGATCCTTCACAGAAAGGTTTGTCAGCCCTTGCTCTAGAAGCAGTGCTTAAAGTGACTTAAGTTAGACTAGTTAGCATAATTAGTTTAAAGACTTTTGCTGCAAAGAAGTACTAGGTGTTATAATTGATTTTTTTCTTTATCTCATAGCTGATTCATTGGAAAGTAACATCTCAGACCAAGATAGTGATTCAAATATGGATCTTATGCCAGGAATTCTGAAACAGCCATCCCTGACGCTCGAGCTTTTCCCCAATCATACAGACAATCTTAATTCCTCACAGAGGGTAAGTCACTTTGTTGATATACCTCTAAATATTTTTAGTGAAACGGGGATAATTATGGAATCATGCCTGAAAAACTTTTAACTTTAACCTATAGAGTAATTATAGCAGAGTACTGATTCATTAGTAATAATTTTTTTTAAATCAAATTCTCATGATTCTTTTTTCCTCAGTCTCTAACAAATAGTTCATTCTAAGACAGCTTTTGTTGTTTCCCTTGATACCACCACTCTGGTCCCATACTTGGTTCTCTGTCCCATTTAAGTCCTAGTTTTTATTTGGTCCCTGAAATATTCACTAAATGGACAGCAGTAGCTATATATTCCATATCCACAATCATGCAATGTTCAACTTAATCAAGTGGGACCATATAAAAATGAAAACATGCTGGAGAATAGTTCAGTATATGAATAAGTACACTGAGTGAGGCACATAGCCCCTCCAAGAAAAGAGCTTTTGTATGCAGGTGTGATAAAATAATACATTTACTGGTGTTGATAAAACAAGAGAGCTTTTGCTTTTATATTTTTTTCTTACCTTATCACAGTTGTTATTTTTTTATTTGTTATTTTTTTCTCCCCTCGTCTTGATAAATGTATGACTGGGTAGTTTTATTAAGTCGGATCTTCTTTCTTTCTTCTACCTTATCACAGTTGTTATTTTTTTATTTGTTATTTTTTTCTCCCCTCGTCTTGATAAATGTATAACTGGGTAGTTTTATTAAGTCGGATCTTCTTTCTTTCTTCTACTTCTTCTTCTTCTTCTTCTTTTTTTTTTTTTTTGTGGTGTCTCCTCTTCTTCATATAGCTCAGTCCCAGTTCCAGAATGAAGAAGCTGCCTCAGGGTCGCCCTGTGCCTCCCCTTGGACCTGAGACAAGGGTTTCCGTAGTCTGGGTGGAACGCTATGATGATATAGGTACTGTATAAGGACTTTCTCCATAAATAACATGAAAATAGAATGATAATGACTTGCTAAATGTCTAAAGGGAATAGCAGTATAGGCATGGTGTTGTGGCCAAGAGCTGGGACAGGAGTACAGCAAGCCTGGGTTTGCATCCCAGTTCTACCACTCAGTTTCTTTAAGCCCTTGATTACTGATCTGTTAAATGGAGACAGTCATGGCACTTATTTCATAGTTGTGAAAATTTGATGACACTGGTAGATACAAAACTTTTAGCTATTCATATTGGTATTACAGTTAATGGTTAGTTGCCAGTTGATCCCAGTCATCCCAGGACATCTGGAAAGTGGAAGAGGAAGCACTTTTCTCACCCTCTCTCCACATGCCCTCCTGTCTAGTTTTAGTGTAAAGGTTAATTTGTCCTTAAGAGTTCTGGTATGGTAAGTTTCTCATGATTTTTATGTAAGCAACATGAGAGCATTAGGAGTATATACTTAGCCTAGAATCCCATCCAGCTCAGAGTTTGTGGGAAAGTGTGACTGTTGCTTTCCAACCAAGCCCTCAAAGACCATCAGTCATGTTCTCTAAAAACCCTCTGCTTTAGATGAGCTTAGCTAAAATGTGCCATTTGTGGGGAATAGTTAGGATTATATATTTTAGTATAGCACAATCCATATACTTATTGCCTGCTGTGTAAAGAGATTAGGAAATTAGATTTCCTATTATTTGTTGGGAAAAATAAGGGAGATATTAATTGTAATGCTATTATTTTCTTTCAGAAAATTTTCCCCTCTCAGATCTGATGGCAGAGATCAGTACTGGTGTAGAAACTACTGCAAATAGTAGCAGTTCTTTGAGGTACACTCTTTATTTACTTGAAGTTTATCATCATGTCTACTTTTTATGTTGATTACAGCTTAATAAAGAATTATAATGAAACAAAAGGGTTAAAGGCAGTAAGAAATAAAAATAGAGAAAAATAACGAAGAAAGAAATTTGTACATAAATGCACAAGGTTATCAAATTAGCAAGGATTTTTTTTTTTTTTTTTTAAAGATGACTGGTAAGGGGATCTTAACCCTTGACTTGGTGTTGTCAGCACCACGCTCTCCCAAGTGAGCTAACCGGCCATCCCTACATAGGGATCCGGACCTGTGGCCTTGGTGTTATCAGTACCACACTCTCCCAAGTGAGCCACAGGCTGGCCCCAGCAAGGACTTTTTTAAAAGCACTTTATTGAGGTAAAACTGACATACAAAAAGTTGTACATAGTTAATGTATTCAACTTGGAGATAAGTATACATCCATGAAATCATCACCATAATCTATGCATAAACATATTCATCACCTCCAAAAGTTTCCTCCTGCCTACTTTGTTGTTATTATTTTGTGATAAGAACACTGAAGATCTACCCTCTTAGCAAATTTTTAAGTACACAATACGGTATTATTAACTATAGCCACTATTCTGTACAGTTGATCTCTGGGCCTTATTCATCCTGCATAACTGAAACTTTGTACCCTTTGACTAATACCTCCCCATATCCCCCTTGCTCCAGCTCCTGGCAACCACCGTTCTACTCCCTGCTTCTATGAGTTTAACTACTTTAGATTCATCATACAAATGGTGTCATGTGCGATTTGTCTTTTAGTGCCTGGCTTGTTTCACTTAGCATAATGTCCTCCAGGTTCATCTGTGTTCTTGCAAATTGCAGGATTTCCTTCTTTTTTAAGGCTGAGAAATATTCTGTTGTATTATATGCCATATTTTCTTTATCCATTCATCCACTGATGGACATTTAGATTGCTTCATGTTGTGGCTATTGTGAATAATGCCGCAGAGAGTATGGGAATGCTATTATTATCTCTTTCAGGTCCTTATTTCAATTCCTTTGGATTGCTGGATAATATGGTAGTTCTATTTTTAATTTTTTAAGGAACTGCCATACTATTTTCCATAATGGCTGCACCAATTTACATTTCCACCAACAGTGTACATGGATTCCTTTTTCTCCACATCCTCACTGACACTTGTTATCTTTTGGGGTTTTTTTTGAAAGTGGTCATCCTAACTGGTATGAGGTGATACCTCATTGTGGTTTTGATTTGCATTTCCCTGATGATTAGTGAGCATCATAGCAAGGATTTTTAAATGGTATAATTAATTGCTAATTTACATTTATCTGTAGCAAAAATTAAAATAGAGAAGTAGAGGCAATTAAGTATTAATGAAGACCATTATAATAGAGTAGCAATATTAGATAGAAATAATGGAGCTAAATTGGTCAAAACATTCTGGATAAATAGCAGTTAAAATATCCTAATCATATGAGCCACTTAATGGAAAAACATTTTTAAGTAAAATGTAATACTAACTTTATTATCACGTTAAAATTTCTAGTCTACTTGCCCATATACGAAAAGAATAAAAGACAGTAATCTGATTCCAAGAATAGTAACAATGTGTTTGTATAGGTTTTATAGTTTCAAGGCTTTTTGCTTGCTTGTTTTTAGTTCGTAACTCCAAAAATTACAAATATCATCTCTGTTTACCAATGGGATAAAATAGGCTCCTAGAGGTTTTTTTCCTCAGTATCACACATCCAGTAAGTACAGGAGAAAGTGATCTGAACCCAGGCCTTTGAACCCAAATGCTAACCTCATTTTTCACATCAGAGAAGTTTGTTTCCTCAAACTTGGTATTTTAAGTTCCTTATACTTACATGATCTAATTTTAATTGCATGTAAGAAGAATTTATTCTACTGTTGTTAGATTGTTGTTGAAACGAAATCAGTAGAGATGGTTTATTTTAGCATCATTTTTAAGGAGTTTCTACAAGAGGGCGGTCTTAAAACTTACATTTTTTTATGCTGAAGTATTTTAAAACAAATTACAGATACTTTATTCTAAATACATCAATGTGCATCTCTAAAAAGTAAGAACATTTTTCAGATAGCTAAAGATAATATTAGCACAGTAATAAAGTTAATAATAATTTCCTTTTTTTTTTTTTTTCCTTTTTGTCTTTTTTACTGACTGGTATCGGGATCGCAACCCTCGGTGTCGCACCCGTACCGGGGACTGGCAACGGGATCGCAACCCTCGGTGTTGCGCCCGCACCGCGCTCAGCCAGTGAGCGGGAACCGGTCTCCACATGGGATCCGAACCCTTGGCGGGAGCGCCGCCGCGCTCCCAAGCGGCGCACTCTGCAGTGCGCCACCGGGCCGGCCCAATAATAATTTCTTAATATCATCTGATAGCCAGTTCATATTAAAATTTCTCCATTTTCCCTAAATATTCTTTACATTGGTTTGTTCAAACCAGAATATACCCCAGGACCATGTGTCTGGTATTAACTCTTTCAGTCTTTTAAAATCTGGAACAGTCCTTTTTCCCTTTTTTCTTCATGACACTGACTTGTTAAAGAGACCATAGAATAGTTATCATGAAGTAGACTTTTCTAGAAATAATTTGGAAGAGAACTTCAACTGTTTTTCATGTTTTAATCTTTTTAGGTCAAAAATTGTAATACAGTTCAACTATAAAATTTGTGTTTTATTGGTAGATTAGCAAAGTTTAGAATTAGTCTTTGGGACTAAGTTATTCTAGGATTGATTTTTTGTTTTTTAAGGTCTTAAAAAATTGACTCTACATTGCTTTGGTCAAAATCACTTTACCTATATAGAAAGAAAGCTCATTGTGTTGCAAAAAAACCCCAACATGTAGCATCACAGAATAACGTGAGTACCTCTAGATGGGTTGACCTATTCCTGACATGTGATGTGTAACTCAAGCTTCCAAAGCTGTGGTTGTTGACCTTTAGCATCTGCTGCCTAGTCAGAGGCTGTGAGGGCTTTTGGCCCCGTTCACCTCAGCTGAGGGAGGACACTTGTAGCTGGCCCAGACTAATGGCCCTCACAACTTCCTCCCCCTGGTTCTGGGGGGGAAAAAAAATTATATCAGGATTCCCATAAGGGGCCTAGACTGTCTTCCTGCTTCTGCTCTGAGATGCCAGCCTTGATTGTGCTGGAATTCCCTGCACTCTAGCCAGCCATACTTTTGTTCCCTACAAGAAGGGAGAACTAAGTGAAAGTCCCATAGCTGGTTCCTAGATTGTTGGTTATCCACAGTAGAGTTCTCTAGCATTTTCTTCTATAACGTGTCCCCAGTGGTTTTCCAAGCATATTTTTTCAGCTCCTTTTTGTTAGCTTAAAAAGCCTGATCCCAATAATGGGCATTTTGGGCTAGGTGTCATAGGGGGCAGCAACATGGGCCCCCAGGAAGATAATTCTGAGCAGACTGACTCCTTGGCTCTTCTCAAACCACTGCCTGGCAGCAGGTCCCATTGGTATTTCTTATGCTACATATGGGGAACTTCAACTCTTGTGTGTCTGGGGTAAAAAGAGTTTTCTTTTCTTAAGATCTACGACTCTTGAAAAAGAAGTTCCTGTTATCTTCATCCATCCTTTAAAAACTGGATTATTCCGGATAAAAATTCAAGGAGCCATGGGAAAATTTAACATGGTCATTCCTCTTGTGGATGGGATGATAGTCAGCAGGCGAGCACTTGGTAAGGTCTTCAAATGTGGTCAAAGGGTTAAGGTTTCTTTCTTTCTTTTTCTTTAATATTTTTATTTTTATTTTCATTTTATTTTTTAAAAGATGATCAGTAAGGGGATCTTATCCATTGACTTGGTGTTTTCAGCACCACACTCTCCCAAGTGAGCCATGCTGGCCCTTCTTTAATATTTTTATAAACCAAAAAGAAGTAAAAATAAGGAAGTGATAATATCACTAAATAGGTTCCACATGTAGAAAATGCTATGGCTCTTGTTAAAAAGGGAGCATGTTCTGGTCTGTTTTAAACTATCCTTACTCTGATAAGTACAAGTAGAATTTTACAAACTTCTAGTATTAGAAAATGAAGATAGCTCTTCGTAATCCATGGCAGGAAATGGATTGTCAGAGCAGATTTGGATTCTATTTTCCCTTGTTGTTGTGTGTTTCTTCTGACACTTTTATCTTAGTGATGTGTCTGTCTCTCTAGGAAGTTTTGCAAATAGAATGAAATAGTTTGAGTATGCAGAGAATAGTTCACTTGGATACTGATAGTTTACCTAGTTGGCTAGTTACTACTAACATTTATATTCAAACTCTCTGTTTTCAAGGCTTCCTGGTGAGGCAGACTGTAATTAACATTTGTAGAAGAAAGAGACTGGAGAGTGACTCCTATAGTCCACCACATGTCCGCCGGAAACAGAAAATCACCGACATTGTCAACAAGTACCGGAACAAGCAGTTGGAGCCCGAGTTTTATACTTCACTTTTCCAGGAGGTTGGACTCAAGAACTGCAGTTCTTAGACCACTGTCTGTCTAGGACTACTGAACTCCAGTTTGGGGCTATAATATCAAAGGAAAACAGTTCAATAGGTGATCACTGTAAAAATAAAAATAAATCACTCTCTGAGTCCTTACTGTTTAATCACCAGAATAGAAGAAACACATTATAAACCCATTTGATAGAAGACTTTTGACTTTCTAGTGAAATGGGCTCCCAGACACAATCATATTCCTGCTGGTAATGATGGTATACATTTTAGCCATAAACTTTCTTTTAAAAGTGACAATTTTAGTTAAAGATATAAGCCTTTTGAGTAGAAAGGCTTTTATGCATCTCAGTTCTGCATTGGTAGCATAAACAAATTTGCTAATTAGAAGTTGAAGATAGCTTTATACCTCACTTTTTAGGAGGTTGTATTCAAAATTAAAATCTGTCTCAGACCGTTTCAGGACATTTAAAGACTCGTGTTGATGGCATGGAGGAGAAGGAAAGAAGTCTACACCTCCTGCTCACTTGTAGGTCCATTTGTTATCCAACTGTCAAACTGACGAAAAGACAAGAACATAAATGTTTTTTGCTCAGATAAGAAGTCTGACGTTAAAATATTTAATATTTTCTCTCCACATTTCAAGAAAGTTGTCATTCTCATCACTGTGCAGTCTAAAGGCTTCGTTTTGGGGGCAGCCCAGGAACAGGTCTAAAATGGAGGCATGGCCTTCTCCTTTAATGGGGATGCAAATGAAGTTTGTGGGGTTACAAGTTATAAGACCACACTGACGCCTCCACTCTCTCCATTATTGTTCATTTTGCTAACATCATGACAGGTTAAACATTTGTGATTCCTTAATTAAATATCAAGAAATGTAAATTCATAGTAAGGGTTGAAAGTTATTTGGTTTCATCCATTGTCTCTTAGTTCAGGATGAAGCCGTAAATCGCAATAGTTTATGAAGGATTTTAATTTGGGATTCAGGAAGTAGCCTCTCAGTGCTACTAATTCATATCTCTCCCAGAGAGCTATTGGATTTTATCACAATTGACAAACATTATTGTATGTTTGTGTGACAAATGTAATTGAAAAACACCTCCTTGGGTGGCTGCTGTTGCATGTTTTCTGGACTTCGCCAGCTGAAGGCACATCAAATCCCTTTCAGGGTTTTGGGAATACTTCTGTTACCTCGCTGCTACTTTTCTGCCAGGGATAAAAATTTGAGGTGGCCAGACACAAAACATCCTTACAAGGATTCCTGTTATAGTGCTACAGTATACACTGCTCATTTCTCCTATTTTTATGTGTTTTCTTCTTTGGTAAGATTATTTTATGTTAAGAAAATAAGTGATATTGAAGTCCAAAGAGGAGTGATCACAGTTGTATAAGGGGTGTTTTCCCACTTGAACTCTCATGTCAGTAGATTCTGTAGCAGGGCTACATTGGTCTGTTTGGTCTGATGTTTTGATAGTCTACTTAGGGGGTCGGGATAGTATAGGACCTAATTCCCTGTGCAGATATCTTTATTTCAGAAGTATGTATTTTGCCATCTATGAGCAAGAAATGTGGGCACAGCAGCTCTTGGTTTTAAGTTTGCCATACCCTTTTCTTCATGTTTGTTTTAAGCTCAGGTAAAGACAACCTCCTCCATCTATGACTCCAGTTTCTATTCAGGGTATATTATTATTATGATTAATTTCTTTTAAAGCTGGGCAATAAGTTTATGTTTCCAGATGGTAGCATGGGATAGGGGATATATGATAAAGATAACAAGTTCTACCCTGAAAATGACTTAGTAGCTCAGCAGAAATAAGGTGAAGTTTAACAATTTTCAAGGAAATTCCAGATTGACATTTCAAAGGGAAAACGGGCCATTGTTTTAGTTGAAGTGAACAAGGAAGGCTATAAATTGACATGCAACTTATAACATTCCAAAGGTTAAAAATGACTGATGTAGATGTACCTCCTCATTGTGATTCTTCAGACAGACTTTTATCTTTAGCATAGTTTTAATGTCAGAAAAATGTATGGTGTGTGTGAGTATTTGGGTGGGCTTGCAGATCCTTCAGTTCTGATTTCTGGCAACTCTATTTAATTCTGGTGATTTTGATAAGTTAACAACCATGTTGAATGCAGTTTGTGATCTGGGAGAATTCATGGTCTTCCAGGGAACGAGGGATGTGCTGCCCCTATAAGCATGAAACCCCCATTGTGTACAGAGCCAACAGAATATGGGATGTGCATCCCTTGCCAGGTGCTGGTTCCTTCTGCTCAAAATAACATCTACCCAAAAGGGAGTGTAGTAAAAACCCTTGGGCCTTTCACTAGTGTGGATTTGAGTTCATGGTCACCCAACTACCTGGTTAAATATCACTTTGAATAGGATAATGCTGGAGGAACATATTTAGTACTTAATAACAATTTTTAGTAGTCCACTTGATTAATTTTCCAGCATATGTTCATAATCTTGGGGGGGGGGGGCGCCACGCAGGACCACTTTGATCTGTGGCTTAAACAGTTCTGTTGCTGTATGTGCCAGGTGCGCCAGGGAGTGGATGAGTGTGGTGGTCTGTGAATAGGAAAGGGTTACCCAAGAGACGGAGGCAGCTTGCCCCTTAAGTTGGGGGGTGGTTTCCTCCTCTTCCTCCTCCTCTAGGGTTGGGAGCACTGAAGATAGGAAGGGGGCTCTTACCTTTTTAACGCTTTCCTTGTTTAGCCACCTCTCCCTTTTCTCCAGGGCTTCTTCCTAAGACCCTCCTGTCCATTGACCCTCTGAAAGGAATAATTACATGGTGAGTTAACACACACACACACGCATACACTCACAGGCACATACACGCAGTCACGTGTGCAAGCATGCAAGCATTTTCCTCCATTTCCAGGTTCTGTATTTCAGGGTAGCCGATTCTCCTCTGTACTTGTCTATAAATAAAAAATACCTACACCTTTGGGCAGTAATGTCAGTTGCCTACAGCTTGTGTGTGTGAGGCCTTCATGAACAGTTAGCTTTCTACATATGCTGGGGAAGCATTTGTCAGGCTCTGCAGACTGATTTCTAGAGAGGCAGTCTTTGTTTCTATCAGAGTATTTATTTCTATTGGAAGGTGGAACTTTACGCAAAATGGGAGTCAACTTTGCCCAAAGACATGTTTTGTGGTATACGGTAAAAATGTATCAGAGGTAATTTGACACTCCTTCTGGCAGCAGTTCTCCATTCAACATTTGAAAACCCATTTATGTTATAGCTTCCTAAAAAGAATTGATTTATATGTTTACATGAAATGATCATTGGAATTAGATGGTCTGTTTTAAAGATTTCCATGACAGCCTCTTTTCCTGAGATGAAGAGATTGGAGGTGATCGATCTGTACAATGTGGAATCAACTATCAGTTTCCAATAGCTAAAGAAGCCATGTACTGTATAGTGTTTTTCTCAGAATATCAACCTATGTTCTTCAGATGCTTTTCTTTTTTTAATGGTGAGGGAAAAGGTATAATTTGGGATTCCACAGTGCCTTGCATATAGTAGGCGCCCAATAAATACTTGTTGAAGCAAACCAAGTTCCCCAAGTCCTCATCTCTTGCAGTGACCAAGACATCTTCCTCCTCTGAAGGGCTTGGCAGTTGTGGCTGAAAAACAGCAGTATCATTATTTGCTTGAAATCATATATACAGTTTGTATGAATTTCAGTATGTTGCCAAGACATCTTTTTCTTATTGTATTTTCTGTAAATATTTCTGGCACTGAACTGTAAAGTAAAGGCGAAATGTAAATATGAAGGTGTCCCTGTGTCCCCTCGCCTCCTGTGTTTTATCTTCTTCGGTTAGGGAAGAAGGCCCAGAGGTTTGTTTGTATTTATGCTGATCCTTTGTCCAGAAGAAGCCCATGGAATATTGAATGTAATACATTTAGTCTATTAAATTTTAAGGAGATTCTTATGTAATAACTTCGTGTGTGCTGTTGGTTATAGGCTGGGGGTTTGACTCCTGCATGGGTGCTCTTAATTTACTCTTTCCAGGGGATGTCTACTTGGCTTTGATTTACCCTTCTATGTAATACATTTAGTCTATTAAATTTTAAGGAGATTCTTATGTAATAACTTCGTGTGTGCTTTTGGTTATAGGCTGGGGGTTTGACTCCTGCATGGGTGCTCTTAATTTACTCTTTCCAGGGGATGTCTACTTGGCTTTGATTTACCCTTCTTAATTTAGATCTCTGGGTTTTTGCCCTGGTTTTGTAGAGTTTCTTGAAATACTCAGAATTCTGTTCTAAGAGAAAAGTATGTGGCTTTCTGTGCTGGAAGGAGCTTGTATAATTAAAACACTGCCAACGGTGGCTCAAATTGTAGAGGCTAGGAGTTGCTGAGGGGATGGATGGCTGTCTGTGTCTTGGGAGCAAGGAAGTGCCAATCATGCTTTCCTTCTGCAGAAAATCTGAGCTCTGCCAGGACCAGGCAGTCAGGAAAGTGGGGAGGTACAGAGGGGTTACCCCCTGCCACCCACTGCCCCTTTGCATACGGCTGGCTGCAGAGGTTTCCATGGGGCCAAATTAGCCCCATAATGCACAGTGGAGTGGTGGTCCACATGAGGAGACATCAATGAGAACTGTTATCGTGCATTCCTCTGCCAAGAGTCACCCCTCCAACCTGGCACAGACTCAATGTGACAGTGTACTGTCTCCTGAACTGTGCCTGCAGTGTGTTCTGCTCTGTCCACTCATCACAGGACCTCCAGCTGGGCCAGGGAAGCTGACTGCACAGTGGCCTTGTGTTGGTGTCTGGAAAGGTTTCATAGATGGAAAATGTGTGTTCAAGCCTTTCCCACTGATGCTGCTCAGCTGTCTCTCACTCCCCCTTCAGGACCCCATACCAAGAAATCTTTCCAGCCCCAACCACCCTGCTCCTGGTCTTGGTCTCTGGGCCCTGCGTCTGTTGCGGCCTACCAGGGCTCTGCTCTTCTTGGGCATACATTCTAATACCATTTGCCCAGCCCTCCCTTCTGAGGACTCCAGCCATCCCACAGCTGGGCGAGGACTCCCTCTAAACCAAGCCCCAGCTGTCCCCTCCCCTCCTCTATTTTTTCCTGTGGCTAGCCCTATGTGTCCTTCTCCCTGGACTGATACCTTCTATAACGTGGTCCTTTTACCTCAATCTTCCTCTGGGTCTACCACCTGCTTCCTGCAGCTCTTCCCCCAGCCTGGAACTAGATCTGCCTGACCTTTCAATGTGTGCTCAAACCATGAGATGCTGTGCTCTCAAAATCAAGAGTGCAGCAGAATTGCCCTGGTTGCTCATCAGTGTGTTGAGTCCTGAGCTTCACCTCCCCAGAGGCTCTGACTCGGTAGATCAGGGCGAGCCTAGGAATTGGCATGTTTAATAAGTACCTTCCAGTCCCTACCCACCTGCTGACAGTGACTGAGGTAGGTGAACCAAGGATCCTCCTGCAGGATACCATGCAGCAGCCACTCCTCCTATGGGCTTCCCTGTACCCATCAGGCTCCCAATCTGGACGGCTTCAGCTTAGGGACTATTGGGCCCTGGGAGGCCCAGAGCCTCCCTCCTGCCATGGGGCCTGGCACATGGAGGTTTACTAAATACTTCATAAATGAATGAATGACAGAGGTGAGGTGGAAAAAGATAAGAATGGCATTTGGAAGTGTTCTGCCCACTTAGGAGAAAAGGAACAAGGTTAAAGCCTTTAGAAGTCCCTTGCTGAAAACTCTAATAAGGAGAGGTGCAGAAGCTTCCAGATTAAATAATAACCATTTAATGAGAGCCCTATGTGTTAGAATGTTTTTTAATGGCAGCCCAGTGACCCAATCCAGCCTGGCAGACAGGTTTTGGTTAGCCAACAATGTTATAACAAGATTGGTTCAATAAAACGGGAGATTTTATGTAGAAATCCAGACTTTTTGGCTCTCAGAAATGGCAATACTGGACCTGTATTTCGTACATAGCAATTATTGGCTGGACCTACTACAGCTGCTTTAGATGCACTAAGCTCCATCCAGTTTGCCACGGTCCCCACAAAGTAGATGTGGGCATATGAAGCTGGAGTTAAGGCCCAAGATCTGGTTGGCTGCTAGATGTATCTGTAACCTCAAATATATGAAAATCCACCCCGGAGAGATTTTTGTCCTATCTATTTTTCTAGTTTTCAGATTTATTTCCACCTCATAAGAAAGAGACTCAGAGGGGTGTCACATGAACCCAATAGCTGCTGAGCTGGGATTTAAACCCAGGCCTGCCTGCCTGGGCTTTTATTCTCAGCCGGACAGTTTTATGGCCCAGCCTCCCACCCATTCAACCAAAACAGCTCTCCCTCCAGGTCTCCCCTGCAGGCTCTGCCTGAAGGACACTGTGAAAGTGCCTTGTTACATCACTGCTCAGTCACAGTTGGACTGAGAGCAGAGCATGGCCCAGCCCACCAAGGCACCAAGGGAGCCCAGGCTGGCCTGGCTTAGCCACACACACACCATGAAGTACCCTCTGTCACTGCTCAGTCACAGTTGGACTGAGAGCAGAGCATGGCCCAGCCCACCAAGGCACCAAGGCAGCCCAGGCTGGCTTAGCCACACACACACCATGTGTCACTGGTGAGCGACCTCACATTTTCTTTCCTGGTTTTCTGGCTCTGCCTGCCTGTGGGTTTGCTGTTGTTCCTGCTGATCATCTGGCTACGCTTCCTACTTAGCCAAGGGGAGCTTCTTACCAACCCTGGCTGGGCCCTAATCTTGGAGTTAGGCAAGGGCCCAAATAGGCCAGGGTGTCCTGAAACAACTGCAGAGAAGGGGGTCTTGTTCAGGCATTTTAAGTGCTGGTTCAGATACAAGCAGTCAACTGTAAGAGAAAAGGATTGGTTTGGTAGTTCAGGCTTTCTTAAACTAGAATCCAAGAACAAACCCCTGAGTTTGACTGTGAAGCAGTATGTTTGTGTATGTCTGTATTCCCTCAGGGCCACCACTAGCACATGGGATCTTTTGTACAAGTTAGGAAGAGGTGCTTCTCTGGGCAGATGAATTAGAAAAAGGTGCTCCTTCCTGGACATAAGGCTCTGTGAGCAGATTCCAACCCCATTCACCCCTCAGCTGAGTGCTTCTGTGCAGTCAACAACTGGCACAATGGGATCCGGCAGCCTCAGGCATTTTTTCAGGTGCCCAGAGACCACTCACACCGTTTTCTGCCTAGACCATGTCAGAGAGGACCTGCTTTCTCTGGGACACAGGATCATGGAAGCCAACTGACATTGGTCCTTACCTCGGCATGCCACCAAGAGGAGCAAGAGGCGGGGCAAGCCTGGCAGCAGGTGGGCCAGGATATGGCCTGGCCATGTGACAGGAGTGATACTTCTGCTCCTCCACTCTCCTATCTCCCTGGGCATTCCCTTCCTTCACCCAGGGGCCTCTTCCTGGGGACTGCTTGACCTCCCACCTGCTGCTCCTTAGCTCCTGACTTTTGGACAACTAGGCAGGGAGGGTGCTGAGCAGTTGTCAGATGTCACCGAGACAGGGTTAGCAATCACCGCCCGCCCCTGCCCCCAGCCAGCCCTGTGACTAAATGTTGGTAATTGTGTAGTTATTGGAAGTTCCTGACGAGACCCTAGAAGGTCCTCTTGCTTCCAGAAAATGTTTGTTTAAAGTATGTTCTCCTCATATTTCCAGGGCAGACAGCAGCCCTCCCTAAGGGGCACAACTCGGGCATAGGGCCCCAGCAGCCAGGGGAGTCAGAAGACGTGTTTTGTGTGCTGGCTATAAAAGCCATCTCCCTGGGGACTAGAAGACTTCAGATTTCAGCCTTGCCCCTTAAAAGTTCATACTAACGGCTAACCTTTTTGAACACTATGTACTAGCTCTTGTGCTGAACACATGATGTGCATTATCTCATTTAAGCCTCAAAATAACCCTGTGGAGGGATCCTTATTTTACAATTGAAGAAACTGAGGCTTGGAGAGGAGAAGCAACCTGCCCAAGGTCACACACCGATGACATACTTAAGAGAGCCGATTGTATGGCTTCAAATCCTGCCTCTGCCACCTACCAGCTATGTGACTTTGGGCAAGTCCTCTATGAGGCTAGTTTTCTCATCTACAAAATGGAGACTATAACAGTAACAACCCTCTGGGGCTATGGAAAGGCTTCAATGGCTTGATGCATGGCAGAGGCTTACAGGACGGGGCACACAGTACACGCACACATGGGACACAGTAGGTGCTTATAGACTGAAGAAATGATCCAGTCGGTGTTGGTTTCGTCAATGTGGAGGAAGTGTAGGAGTGGCTTTAGATGGCTTCTCTGAAGGGGGCGACACCTTACCTGCCATCCAGGCCAAAGTCTATGGCATTAATCTCCTCCAGCAATTCAGCCTCTTTGGAGGCCTTGCTCTAAAACTGATGTCGGAGGAGAGGGCCTGGGGTGGCCCGATAGCTGACCTCAACCAGCCTCGTCCTCTCACTAGGTTCTTGACTCTGTCCCAGTAAAGAGTTCAAGAGCAGAGTCACAGTAGAAAGTGAGAACAGGTTTAATGTAACTGATAAGAAGTACAGATTTCACAGAGAAAGTGCAGCCTAGCTCCAGAAACTGAGCAGCGCCTTCACCAAGTTTAATACAAGACTAAGAAATACACATTCACAGACAAAGTGTGGTCTGGCTCTAGAGTGAAGAGCAGCCTGCCAAAGGCAAGTTTGATACAAAAAGAAAGAAATACACACCTCAGGCAAAGTGCAACCCCCACCCCACCTTCTACCAAGATTCAGCTTTTATAGTTTTGCTATCTAATACATATTCATGATATCTAATGAATAGCCAGCTAAGAGGCTGGTTCCCAGTTAGGTAACCTAGTCTTGCACATGCTCAGTTGGTCTCTTTTAGAGCATGCTCATTGGTCAAATTCCATCACATGCATGGAATACATTCAAATATATTCTGTGCTCTCTAGCACCTCCAGTGGGAGGTCATTCAAGGAATAAACTCCTTTTTACTGAGATGTCCCCTGTGGTCTCAATCTCTGGGTGATGGTGCCAAAAGTAGGTTCTATAGGCCACGATAGTTCAGGACTCAGAGGTGGAACTTGAGTTCTGGGGGTGTGGGTGGCCTGAAATCCTGTCCCAGCGGGACTGAGCACCCCCTGTCTCAAAACCATCCACAACCTACACCACCCGACCCCTTCTCACACTTTCTCCTCAGAGGCTGTTTACTCACTGACATGTAATGTGGCATTTTGAAGTAAGTCCTTTATTAATTTTGCAATGAAGAGAAACCATCCTCAAAGTGGGGTGGGCGGTCCTCCCTCGGGGTCCCCTTCTTGGAACTCTCAGTATTATGGATGTTTTGCTCTTGTGCTGAGAATTAGCCCAAACTCAGGGTCTGGGCCTGTCAGGGTTTGGGGGACTGGGGTCTCGGGATACACAAACGTGTGGTTTTCCATTCTGTGTTTTGCTCTTGTGCTGAGAATTAGCCCAAACTCAGGGTCTGGGCCTGTCAGGGTTTGGGGCACTGGGGTCTCGGGATACACAAACGTGTGGTTTTCCATTCTGCTGTGGATCTTTTTGTCGGAATCAGTGTAGCCTGGAATCCAGTATGAGAAGCAGCAGGAACAGCTCTGACCCCTTCTCCCCAAACTCCACACTCCCCCACTCCTGCCAGGCTCAGCAGGGGAGGATCAGGGCCTGGAGGGAAGAGCACAGAGCATGGAGTACCCAAGAGGATGCCGCTTCTCAAGTGCAAGGAGGGGCGGGCAGGGAGGAGAAGGGAGCTGCCTGGTGAGACTGGCACCGAGGCAGCAAAAGATAATGGGCAGCTCAACTCCTGGGAACACTGGCCAGTGAGGATAGTTCTGATCTCTGGCCATGACATGGGGAGAGAGGATGGGGCCACATGCACCCTTCAAGGGGAAGATGCCCTGCTGCAGGCGCCTTTTCTTTTTTGCGATTTGAAAGGAGTTCACAGACAGAAGAAGGGAGACCTCCAAAGAGAAGGATTTCGTGCTGGATTTAGAGAGTGGCACAATAGGCTATGCCTGTTAAGGGTCCTGCCCAACCCTCATGGTGGTCCTTGGAGCAAGATGTTCAATTCAATGCTGGCTTTAAATTCCCTGACTCCAAACAAATGCACCCAATGGAACTGTGGAACCAGGAGGCCGAACTTGGATCCAGTACTACGTTGTGAGCCCCGACAAGTCATTTCACCTCTCTGAGCCTTACTCATCTCTAAAATATGGAGAAATACTAGTAATTGCTTTCAGGAAGTTAAGAGGATTAAGTGGGAAAATGCACATAAAACACTTAGCACATAGTATATATTAAAACAATAATCACCATCTCTAGTGAACAGTCACTTCAAGCCATCATACTGATCTGTAAGTCACAATAACTGCCAACGTTGAACACCTGTGCTAGGCCCTGTGCATGTCTTACTTCAGTTAACCCTCACGGTAGAAGATGCTATTATTATGCTCATTTTACAGATGAAGACACTGAGGCTCAGCCTTTTCTGTCTCCTGCTCCTGGACTGTAATTTGGGGGCTCTTTACAGCCTTCTTTACTTCAGTGCAACCAGTGAAGCAAAACAAGAACACACTGAGAAAAATAATCCTCTCCATCCCCTCTCCTTTCTCACCTTGTCTTCCCAAGATAAGCCACGTTAGCAAAGTCATGCGCACGCTTAATAACATATGTAGGTTTTCAAAAAATTTTATTTTATTTCTCAAAAAAATAAAAGGAGATCTTACCTTACATATTTCTCTGCAACTTGCTTGTGATATACCATGGATTATCCTGCAAGTCAAAAGATACAGATATAATGCAATTATTTTAACAGCTTCACGACATGCCATTGCACAGATGGACCATGTCTCTATGCAGTGTGTTTGTCACCATATAGTCAACCAGACATCCTGTGATGGATATGCACATGGTTTCCAGGTGTTTTATTTTTCATATGTGTGTGTGTGTGTGTGTGTGTGTGTGTTGCCACAAAACAGTGCTCCAGTGGAAGTTGTTACCTGTAGACTCAGATATTTGTTAGTGAAAGAACTAGTGGACAAACGGATGGATGTATCTCCTCAGTGCCTTCTCCTGGACCATACCCATCTCCAGGGTCCTTCCTTCTGTAGTCGATGGATATGGCCACTTTCTGAGTCATAGGAAAACCTTCTTTCTTGGTCCCTGGTCATCATTTAAGGCCCCAAAGTCTTCCTGAGGTCTCAGGGCTAGCCCATATGTTATGGTTCTGCCTTGGCCCCCTGGCCTCAGACAAGGCTGCAGGGATGCCCAGGCCTGGCAGGGGACTCCTTTTGGGTCAGGGGTAAGAGACAGGATTTGACCACCCAAGAGGCCTTGTCTCATACCTCCACAGATTCAGAGGAAAATGACTCAGACTTATGCTTCAATTGGGAGCCCTGGAGCAAAAGCCCTGCCAAGTTTTACTGGGAGGGGACACTCCAGAGCCAAAAGGAGGAGAGGCTCTGCTGGTGAGCCTGCTCTGCCAGGTAAGCCCTTTCTAAGGGGTAGGGGACCAGAAGGGGGAGCCTTGGGCTACTGCTGTGTTGGTGAGCTGGCTCCTTTGTCCATGCGGGAGGACAGGCTTACTCCACCATGTTGCAGAACCTCTACCTCATTGTGCTGGAGACCTGTTTTTGCCTTGTTGGAAGCAGCCACCTCTGCCATGAGGAGTTTCCTTACAAACGTCCCCTACCCTTTCCTCTATGACCTCACCTCCCACCACTCTCCTTAGGGTCTTTGCCTTGGCTGTTCCCTCTGCCTGGAACCCTCCTCCTTCAGTCATGTGCTTGACACACTCCCTCACCCCCGAGGTTTTGCTCAAGTGTCGCTTTGTCAGTAGGAAAATTTGTTAGTAGAAATTGTCACTTTCTGCCCTGACTGCCCTGTTCGATATTGTACCCCCACCCCATCGTCCCTCTTACTCTGTCCTTCCTTTGCCATTGCGTACATCACCTCCTAACATGCTAGATGATTGATGTGTGCAGAGCACCCAAAGCACTGCCTGACTCACAATGGGGCTCAGTACATATTTGTAGAAGGAATGACATGATATTAATAATAATGTTAATGGCTGACGTTCATAGGGGGCTTAATAGGTACCATGGCCTGTGCTAAGCATTTCCCTCTCATAAGCTCATTTACGAAATCCTTCTTTCTTTTTTTTTTTTTTTCCTTTTGGTCTTTTTTCGTGACCGGCAACAGATCGCAACCCTCAGTGTTGCGCCCGTACCGGACAGGGACCGGCAACGGGATCGCAACCCTCGGTGTTGCTCCCGCACCTCACTCAGCCAGTGAGCGGCCGGTCTGTATGTGGGATCCGAACCCTCGGCAGGAGCGCCGCCGCGCTCCCAGGTGCACTGTAGCAGTGCGCCACCGGGCCGGCCCCAAGCATTTCCCTTTCATAAGCTCATTTACGAAATCCCACAGAGGGTGTTATTCTTACCTTCATTTACAAATGACAGCTCTGGGTGTCAGGGCCGTTAAGTGATTTGCCCACAGTAACAGAGCTCTTGCCCCTGTTGAAACCTAGGAGACCTCATCCATTCCAAAGGGGTTAAATGTCACCGCTATGCTAATGACCTCAAAATGTGTGTCTCACCCTAATCCTCCTTTTGAGCCCTATTATTGTCTGCTTGACACCTTCTCATGTCTAGAATGGATTCTTGATTCTCGTTGCTACCCAACAAAGCAGGACACAACACCCTGACCTTCTGCCAGCGTCTCTTCCTCTCCATGAACAGCAACGTCAGTGATGGGTCCAGTTGCTCGAGCCACAATGCTGGCGGTCGGCCTCCATGCCTTCCCTCCCAGTCCGCGTCCAGTCTGTCAGCAAGTCCTAAGGACTCTAGTCTCCATCTCTGTGTGTCCACTTCTCTCCATCCCCACAGCCACCATAGCCTGCCTTCCTCTGAAGTTCCCCATGCAACATGTTCATGAGCCCCCCACTTAGGCCCCGGGGTCACAACTTGGTGCCCCTGCGTGTCTGAGTGGAGGCAGAAGTTGGGGTTGAGTAGCAGAGTCCCTCACTTAACTTTGGTTACAGTGATCCTTAACCTCTCTGGGTCACGATCTTGACATTGAGGACCCTTTCCCCAGAAAAACTCACACGTATGCACGCGCTCACACACAGGGCTGGCTTCACAGTGTGTGACCCACAGTCACACAAAGTCCCCCGCTTGGTTTAATGTTTTGCTGTTGCTGTCTTGGAATTCTCAATTTTAGAACAAGGGGCCTCACATGTTCATTAGCTAATGGGCCTGTAAGTTATGTAGCCTGTCCTGTTTGTGTACAATTAGTGTGGTGAGGAAACAAGATTTGCAGACTCTGAGCAAGACCTGGTCCCATTCATCTAGATCCCTTCCCACCTCCATCATGTGTCTCTTTCTTACTCTTTCATTCCAATGTCATCCCCAGACCCAACCTTCCATTTGTCTCTAGCTTCATTTTCCTGGAGTCAGCTGGGCTGTGGCCATGGCCGGAATGGACAGGAGAGACTTGCCACAGAGGGAAGACGACTTTGGCCACTGGGGTGCCTCCCTGGAACCCCAACTCGCCTGCTCCCCAGATGGACACACGAAAGCCTCCTGAGGAACCAGCTGTTCTCCACCATCACAAGTGGTTGCCCAGGTCTTCCAGGAGGAGCCCAAGTCTGGGAAGACACTATGAGCAGGAGCTTGGGGAGGAATTGGCCAACTGAGTTCAGAGGAGGTCCTAGGGCAGGGCTGGGCTGGAGGAAGTGGTTGCATATTAAAGACACAAGGGGGCTCCTGTGCTCATAAGACCCCTGACAAACCTGCACAATATAAGTGCTTGATGTGTGTTATCCCACTGAACCCTCACAGGCACCCTCAAGACAGGCAGGATTTTCATTTAAATAATGAGGAAGCTGTGACTCAGAGAGGTTAAGGCATTTACTTGAAGTCACACAGCCTAAGTGCAGAGCTGAGGGTCCACTCCAGGCCCATGTGGCTCCACTACATCACACTGGGTAGGACAGTGCTACAGTGGGGAGTGGAGCTGCTGGGAGGGGCAGAGAGATGGGAGAAAATGCTGAGCACACAGCACGTAGGCCCTGGGGGGCTTTCTGGGTCTCAGAGGCACAGAATGAGTCGCCACAATAGTGAGAGGGTTGGCTGGATTACAGGCTGCCCCAGGAGGTGGTGGCAGGCTGCCAGGATGCAGGGCCAACAGGTCTGAGTCACTCCACTGTGACCTAACCGGCCTGGCCGATACTCCCGGGCTGGGACAGGGCATAGCTGGGGCTGAGGAATGCTGCCTGGTGCGTGGGTACACTCACTTCTCCAAGCTTCATTCTGAATACACACGGCTGTCCAGGAAGCCAAGAGGTGGTACTTCCTTAAAGAGTCTTGAAAGTGCTGCTTGCCCAAGATTCAGGCCACTCTCTCTTCCTTCTTGCTTTCTTCCAAGCTAGGTTTTCAGTTCTGGACTAGAAGTTCATTTACTCAGGTACTACCTTGTTTACTCACTCAAGCACTTATTTATTAATTCATTCATTTACTCATCTACCCATTCACCTAGTGGCTCACTCACTCATTCATTTGCTCACTCACTCAATCATGTTTCCACACATTCATGTACACAGCCATTCACTCTACCATCCACCCACCCACCCATCCATCCAACGATTCATCCTCCCGATCAATTGTCTGCCCACTCATCCCTCTTCTCTACCTGTTTTCCCATCCAACTTTTCATTCTTCTTTCCTTCCATCTATCCATCTGCCCATCCATCTATCCATCCATACATCCACCCACCCATTTACCCCTCCTTCCATCCACCCATCCGTCCATCATCTGTCTACTCATCTATCCATCCATCCATCCGTCCATCCGTCTCTCCCTACCTCCATCCATCCGTCTACCCACCCGACCATCCATCCATGCAGCCATCCATCCGTCCATCCCTCTATCCATCATCCATCCACTAATCTATCCATCCATCCATCCAACCTTTATAAGCACCTACCATGTTTCCCGCACAAAGCTCCTTATGGCTCCCAAAGTAGTTTTGCACTCACTTTCACTGATAATTCAACTTACATATGGGGAGGGGCCTCCACCAATGGGACGCCCAGCTCCTCTGCCTTCTGGCTGCGTGTTTCCATTGTCTCTTCCTCAGGATGAGGCTCGGGAAAAGCGGCCAGTCAGTCACCTCCATAGGTCCAGCCTGCACGTTCAAGCCACAGATGGCCGTCTGAGACTTGGGGTTCCTGAGGGCCTTTTGTCCTGTGGGGCTTTCCCCATCTTCCGAGGCCAGGACTATGCATAGTTCTAGGCACTGTGGCTCCAGTGGAGCAATATGCATAGGTCCAGCCTGCACGTTCAAGCCACAGATGGCCGTCTGAGACTTGGGGTTCCTGAGGGCCTTTTGTCCTGTGGGGCTTTTCCCATCTTCCGAGGCCAGGACTATGCATAGTTCTAGGCACTGTGGCTCCAGTGGAGCAATATTTCCAGTTTCTCAGGCCCCATTTCTTGCCTCTCCCGGGCCAGAGCAGAGCTCCACACCGTGGTGACTGACCCATGGACTTGGGGCCCCTCTTTGTGGAGCACTCTGGAGCCTCTCAGAGTAAAGGCAAATATACAGTCTGGGAGGGTCACTGATACCCAGAGCCTTGGAAGAGGGCACAGCAGGCCAGGCTGACCTGGGAGAAAACCGTGCACTCTGTCCCGGCCAGAGAGCAAGAGACCGGACTCATGGTTGGTAATAGATGCAGGGAGAACACAGCCAGGGAAGCTGAGACGAATGCTTCACATGGCCCTAAGTGCCCCGCTTCCACCCTTTGCACGTGCCATTCTCAGCGCCCGGAACCCCTCCCCAGTCTCTCCCACCCGATGTTCAGCCTTCAGTGCTCCTCTCAGCTGAGAAGCTGCCTCCCTCAGGAAGCCTTCCTGCGACCCGTGGTCCTGTCTTCTCTCTCACACGCGGTGCAGCTGCCCCTAGCAGGGGCTCCACACGTGTGAATGAATGAATGAGTTCCCTTTTTACAGAAGAGGGAATTAAGTTCCCCAACTTCTCCCCTCCCCCAGCCTTTTCCCAGCTCCTACTCCTTCACATCCCACCCAAAAGGCCGATCCCACAAAGAACCTTCTGGACTCCCACACTCGGTGCTCCTGTTTCCTGCTCCCTTGGCTCCCTCCCACTCTGTTCCCACCACCTGCCCTTTTCACATCCTGGACACCTTCCTGCTTGCTTGCTGTCTGTCTCCTGGCAAGTGCCACCGTCCCTATGCCACAGAGGAGGAAGCCACAGCTCAGAGAAGCCCTGAGGGAATGGCCAAGCTAGTGTGAAGACCCGGGTCACGACCGCTGGTTTCCACCCACATTAGCAGGTCCTTTATTCTCTTGACTTTATTTTTAAATCAGGAGGGCCGTAGGTAGTAACAGTTGCAATGCAAATAATATTTCATGACAATGTTTTAAAGGTGACGTTTCTACTTCATGACTCCGGGCCAGGTGGGCGGGACTCAGGAGTGGAGTGTGTGTGTGTGTGTGCGCGTGCGCGCGCTCTTGCGTGTGCATGCACCTGCTTGTAGGTGGCCCTGGCTGAGCCGGCCCTGCCCCAGGAGGAGGCTGGACACTTGTCCCAGTGTCGGGTGTGCCACAGGGGCCCTGAATCCTTCCTCCTACTTGCATTGCCGATTGAGTCAATCCCACGGCGGCAGCACAGCAGCTCACCTGGGAGCCTGGAGGTGCTGGCCCATGGCAGAGCCCACGCTTCTCCCCATCACCCAGATGGAGAGGCTGGCCCCGGCACCCCTGGCCCCACTGTGTCCCCGGATCCCGCGGGCCCGCATTGCCAGGCAGTCAGGGCGCTGTGCCCAGCGCTGGGCTGACCTGGGCTGCAGGTACAGACATCACCAGAGGGGAGTGGGAGGTTTGGACCTACTCTGTGCCAGGGGCATATGTCATCTCACTCCATCTTCACAACACACCCGTGAGGTAAGAATTTTCCTCCCACTGTACAGATGAAGAAACAGAAGCTCTGAGATTCAATGGGCCAAGGCCGCCTGGCTGCCAAGTGGTAGAGGGTGCTTCCGACTGAGGTTTGTGGGACTCCAAACCCAGGCCCTTCCTGGCACGCAGCACTGCCGTGGGCTCTTCTGCTGCCTTCTGCAGGGATCACTGATTTTCAGGTTCTTAGAGATGTGTCAGCCCCAGTAAGTGCCATTTCCCCTTCCCCCAGATGTAGAGAGTATCAGGGATCCAACGTGTCTGATTTGGGGCTCGGAACTCAGGAGTCTAGCTGGGTCAGAAGAACGGTGTCACCCTCCTTGCTGCTCAGTGTGCCACTGACAGCCAGACCAGAAGTCTTAAAAAAGTCATTTCCTCCACTATGATTACAACATATTACAATATGATTATTATAGAAATTCAAACAGTATAGAAATATCGTCACCCTCCTTGCTGCTCAGTGTGCCACTGACAGCCAGACCAGAAGTCTTAAAAAAGTCATTTCCCCCACTATGATTACAACATATTACAATATGATTATTATAGAAATTCAAACAGTATAGAAATATTTATGTTCATTCCTGAGAACTACTGTTAAAGTTTTGACATGTACCTTGGGAGGACTGTGTGACATATATAAACCTAAACATGTCTAGTTTTACGCAAATAGGATCATGCTATACGCGCACTCGCAGGCTTCCTTCTATCTCTTAATTAATGTTATGGACATCTTTACATGTCAGTAACATAAAGATCTAACTCATTTTGGTGGCCTGTCAGAATCCAACTTTATGGATGTCCTTTGGTTATTTTAAACCAACCCCTGGCTAATGGACATTATGTTGGTTCTAATTTTTCCAAGTTTTTTTTGGGGGGGGCCCGCATCCCCAAGGTCTTCCTGTCTCACCCAAAGGGGGTGTGCAGCTGGCCAGTGTGGGGATCTGAACCCTTGACTTTGGTGTTATAACACCATGCTCTAACCAACTGAGTTAACCAGCCAGCCTACATTGGTTCTAATTTTTAACCGTTCTAAGCAATACTGCAATGAACATCTTTGGGAACTTGCAGGTGTAAAACTCATTCCTAGATGTGTAACTGCAGGTTTAAAAGGAACATTAGAATCTTGATAGATCCTGCCCAATTGCTCTCCAAAAATGTTCTAGCTCATGATGGGCATGAGGGTGTGAGGATGAATATGTTCTCTCAGCCCTTGGGGTGTCCACAGGTGGGTCCAGCAGGAAGAAATAGGACTGGTCCAATATGACAGGATGCACTACATGCTGATGGGAAAGGTCTGAATTGACTTATATTATATAGACTATTTTGTAAATGACCTTTCCCACTTAGTAATATCTTTTCCTGGAAATACACAGAGATCTAGACTGATCTCTTTTTTTTTAAAAAAAGATGACCGGTAAGGGGATCTTAACCCTTGACTTGGTGGTGTCAGCAGACTATTTTGTAAATGACCTTTCCCACTTAGTAATATCTTTTCCTGGAAATACACAGAGATCTAGACTGATCTCTTTTTTTTAAAAAAAAGATGACCGGTAAGGGGATCTTAACCCTTGACTTGGTGGTGTCA